CCAGAGAGGCTGTGGAGTCTCCTTCTCTGGAGACTTTCCAGCCCCATCTGGACACGTTTCTGTGTGACCTGCCCTGGGTGTTCCTGCTGCAGCACGGGGGTTGGACTTGATCCTCAGACGTGCCTTCCAAACCCTATGATTCTATGAAAGAACAGTAAGGAAAAGAGGAGCACAGGAGAAAGAACTGAGGTGATTCCACACCTATTCTCTGTAGTGCCATAGCACTCCATTGGCTTTTAATGGTCAAATATCAGTTTTCCCAGGGTTTTCTGCAGAAGAGCTGAGAGGAAAAGCTCCCAGGGACAGGTCTATAGCCTCAGCCTCCTGTCATCATCCAACTAAGAAGCAAAACTCTGGCCACATAACATTAGGAATAAATGGATGCTTCTCACCAGACACTCGAGAATGGGAAAACAAAATCACAGATTAAAAGGAAGAAGCAGTAAATAAAAACCTGGATTAAATTCAAATATTAAATGGAGAAGAAGATGGAAGAAACAAAGGAGGGGGAAAAAAAAATCAGTGTAGGGTAAAAGGAACAAGGTGGAGGTTGGATTTGAGAGCAGTAAACTCATATTCACGTTGCACAGAAAATACTACAACTCCAATGGCAGGGTTGGTTGCAAAGGCAAGAATAAACAGGAGAGGAAAACCTGATTTATGTTTTCATTCCACAGCTGGAGCCTTGTTAATAATTGGAGGGAAATCTCCCACTTTTACTTATCCAGTAAGGAATTTATTGGAAGACCATGTGCAAAGCCTTGAAAATGAACGAATGAACGGGGGAAGAGACTGAGGCAGGAGAGGAACCTTCTCTGCTGTACCCTAAGTCCCAACAAGCTCACTTTGTGAGCTACAGAAGCCAAAAACATACATCAGGTGTAGATGTTTATGTGCAGGTTCAAGGAACAAAAAGGTGAGGCAGGAGAAGCTGCAGGAAAATGCTGTTTCAATGATTCACATGGCTACTCCAGGTGCTCCTCCTAGAAGCTGCTTCCTATAAGTTCTTCCCAGGAAATTACACCTAAACATCATCTCTTCTTGCTTTTCATGTACAGAGCTTAGGAAATTATCTGAAATTGCAGAGACTAAAGACTCCAAGTCTCTGCCACTTGGCACAAAAAAAAAAAAGCAAGACAATTCCCTCCTAAAACAGGCTGGAAATTTACCTGGTACTAGAGTCCTGTTTAGATACCTCAAAACTTGCTTCCAGCTTTTTGCATTTCATGAAATGAAACAAATAAAGTAAGAGATTTTCCATGTTCCAGTCCAAAAATTAAATATAATCAGTGCAGATTTATTCTGGACTATCATAGCTTTAGAAGCCAGGATAAAATTATCTAAGGTGTTCTCCAGCACAGATGGTGAATGCCCATCAGAGCTAGTAAACTTCTGGATCATATTTATATGGACAATATAAAATAGATATTAATCTAGAAGAAAGGCAGAAAAGGAAATGCCAAGGAAGGAAGAAACATTCAGGCTGGAAAATAGAACTCCACTCAAAGCTTCTCTCAGCTGCATCAAACTGGTTAGGCAAAGTTTTTCCAGAGAGAAAAAACAAAGCTTCCTGGTTTTTGTGTTTGTCTAGCCCCACCACTTCCATGGCAAACACTCAACACTTTTGAGGCAGCCTGCCTGGCTATTATTATGTTCATTTGCAAGAGAAACCAACAAAATAAGACAGAAAAGAGGTATATGCAGCACCTCCTCTACAAGAAGAGATATTTGGGTTAGTCCCTAAGAAATAAGTATGTATATCCCAACAAATCTGGACCACCACAGCCTCTTGCTGAGGAAACAAGACAGATGCATCTCTAAAGGAACAAAAATTGAAAGGGTTTTTAGAGGTGAAGACTTATTTACCAAAGAACAACTCACCACTTCATGAATGGACCGATTGAAACCATCATCCTCAGTCAGGATTAGCAGGATGATCAGAGCCATGTAAACATGGTGGGAATTCCTTTCTTCGACGTGATACAGGATTTCCAGAATTGGCAGAACCTATAGGGAAGGGAAAAAAACCACCTGTGGATCAGTTTAGTCTTTCAAATACTTCAGACAAACAGAGGAGACCTCCAAACCTCCTGTGCATCACCCTGTCCTCAGCAATATCACTTTCTCCCTTTAGCACTTTCTCCCTCTTAAAACAACCACCCCTAAATAGTGACGTGCATTGTTTAAACACCTTCCATCTGTTTTATTCTGCCTGCACAAGAGTCAAAACCAAATCTTTCTTGTGGTCAGGCATGGAATTTCCATTCCTAATGAGATTTCCAGGCATACCCGCTTACCATAGGTCCTGAAACCTTTAGTTCCCCTCTAGACTATGGGAAAATGCAATTGTTAAACAAGATTTTCAAACATCCAAGCAGGAAAATAATTGGTTTTAACCACTAGTGCTAGCACAAGCTTGGTCTGAAAGGAGGAGGACCACAAAGATGATCCAAGGGCTGGAGCAGCTCTCCCATGAAGATAGGCTGAGAAAGATAGGCTGTTCAGCCTGGAGAAGAGAAGGCTCCAGGGAGACCTTAGAGCACCTTACAGTGCCTGAAGGGGCTCCAGGAAAGCTGGGGAGGGACTTGGGACAAGGGCAGGGAGGGATGGGATGAGGGGGAATGGATTAAAACTGAAAGAGGGGAGATTGAGGTGAGACATGAGGAGGAAATTCTTTGCTGTGAGGGTGGTGAGACCCTGGCCCAGGTTGCCCAGGGAAGCTGTGGCTGCCCCATCCCTGGCAGTGTTGAAGGGCAGGTTGGATGGGGCTTGGAGCAGCCTGGGCTGGTGGGAGGTGTCCCTGCCCATGCAGGGGGGTTGGAACTGGATGGTCTTTAAGGTCCTTTCCAACCCAAACTGTTCTATGATTCTATGACTTTTCTCATCAAATATAAACAGCCATTTTAGACCTGAGGTACACAAAGGCATCTGGAGACCTGCAACTCAAATCCCATTTTGCTGTGTGGAGATACAATCCCAGAAAAGAATCAGTTTGGGATGGGTGAAGACAAAAAAAGGCCTGATTTTCCAATTTTAGGTAAGAGGCAGCCAAAGAGAACTGACATTATGATGAGAGTTCAGCCCAAGTTCTTGCAACATTTCCACCAGGATGAACAGCTTAAGCCAAAGTCTTGCAATAATAATGAACATGAGATTTCACTGCACTAGCAAGCATACCTGAATGCTAGTCTAAAGTTAATCCAGATGCAAATGTTGTCTCTCTACCAACTGAAAAATTAGCTTTCCACTGGCTCAGTACAACGTGGCTTCCCCACGCTGCAGAAATAGACATAAAGAACAAAATACCCTGGAAAAAAAGGAATTGGAGGAAAACTCTCCATTCCATCCATAGTGGATGAGATGTAGAACTTGTTCCAAGAAGCTTCCAGACACCTAAAGACTCACTGTTTTTCATAACAGGCTGACTGCAGCATGGGGAATCATGTGAAACCTACTCTGGTGAGGGGCCAGGACACCGAGTGCTTCAAAAGCCTCTGAAGTTACCAGAACGTTCTCTTACCACCAGTCAGTCCCAAAACAGTTGGAACATATGAAAACGCACACCAGTTTCTAATAGAACCAAGAAAGATTGAGGTAAATGCTGCAGGACACAAGACCTTCTAACAGATACTTTGGGCAGGGTCAAAAGTGATAACACAACAAAAGCAGGGGGCAAAATTCCTCCACAGAATCATTTAACAATATTTAACAAAGTACAAGGCTACAAAGCCACACGAGTGACCTGCTTAAGCCATATTTAGATCACAGGAAAACATACTGCTTTACCATAGAGAAATACAGCAGCATATTCATTACTTCAGTCCGGACTCATTGACCAGCAACAAAACGTACAGCACAGCTCAGCAGCCTGAGCAAACAGCTCATTTCCAACAAGCAGGTAACTCACTGGCACCTTCACCTACCATCTAGGTGTTACCTGCTCTTCCAAACAGAAGGCAGCTCAACCGTCTCCCAGTCACAGACCACGACACTCTGCTGCTGAAAAACTTTCCTCACTGACCGCTATTTCACTACTCCCACCACCTCCTGGAGAATCATGAAATGATTTGGTGGGAAGGGACCTTTCAAGGCCACCTATTCCAATCCCCCGCAAGGAGCAGGGACATCTACAACGCAATCAGGTTGCTTAGAGCCCCGTCCAACCTGACCTGGAATGTTTCCAGGGATGGGGGTCCTTGTAGGTACTTTCAATAAGACTGAAATCCCAAATTTCCTATTGCCAAATTCCAGACGTGAAGATCCCTAATGGCATCAGGTACTTAGCCCAGTTCTTTTAGAACATGACACCAAGACACATGCCACAAGTTATGGAAGTCACACAAACATCCTTTTCATTCATAAAGGCAGAGAGTTTGGAGAAGGCTGAGAGGGGACCTGATGAATGTCTCTCAATACCTGCAGGGTGGGTGTCAGGAATGGGCCAGTCTCTGTTCAGTGGTGCCTGGGACAGGACGAGGGGAAACGGCCCCAAGGGACAACACAGGAAGTTCCAGCTCAAGAGGAGGAGCAACTTCTTTGCTGTGAGGGTGACAGAGCCCTGGGCCAGGCTGCCCAGAGAGGCTGTGGAGTCTCCTTCTCTGGAGACTTTCCAGCCCCATCTGGACACGTTTCTGTGTGACCTGCCCTGGGTGTTCCTGCTGCAGCAGGGGGGTTGGACTTGATGGTCTTCAGAAGTCCCTTCCAACCCCTGTGATTCTGTGATTCTACCAAGACTGTTGTAAGAGCAAAACTGATGCATTCCCTTACTAATGATGAAGCATTCTAAAGCACAACAGAAGATGAAGGTCTTTAAATCTAACTGACAGAGTCAGATTCATATGCAAACAAGGAAGCAAGCTGAGACAACACCTATTCCATCAGCTAATAAAACCACACTGAATCCATTTACAAATAAAACTGAAGTTACAAAAGAGCAAAGACATTTCACACCTCCCCTAGGAAATGTCCCTCAACATCTGCTAGCGATGCTTCCTGGGCACCAAACCCAGGAAGTATTAAATAGTGGAAAAAACACAGCACATGTGAGACACTGAGTGCAGTGTGACAGAAACAACCTGCAAAACCCCTCAAAGTCTAAGATGAGCACTCAGCTGGCCTCATTTCTCATGTAGCAGAGGCTCTTACACTTCACCCAACTGCTTCATTATGAAGAAGCCTCTAAAAAGCCACCCACCCTCACTCTAAGACACTCAGAGAGAGCAGTGCTTTACCTCTGAATTCATTACCTTCACTGGTTTCCTCTGGTGTGGGCTTCAACCTCCAGTCTTTAGTTCTCAGCACATCTCCCTCTATAAGCAGAGTGTCCTTTCCCTTCCAAGCTTTCCCCTTGTGAAGTCACGGACACATCCTGATGCATCTCAAACTCTTTTCTGACCAACTCAACTAACATTAGCTTTTTAAGCCTCTCCCAGTTTTGTTAGAGAAACCCCCTCGTGCTTCTCTACATTCTCTCAATTTCTCAAGAGCCTGTAAATATTTTATGAAGTTTGGTACCACAGCACCAGAATAGCATTCACCACTCTTGCAGTTGCCATATAGGGAAGGAAAAAACCAGCTTCATTACTCCTGCCTCTTTGTCTCATTTACTAAATTAGCCTTTTTCACCACAGGGTTGTAATTAGGAGATCATGATTGCTCTGCCCAGTAACCCTCCCACCCCCCCAAGTCCCTTCTGTGTTTGCATGATTAAGCAATTCAAGCTGCTCCTCTCAATTGGTTGCCACTCATTCTTACCTACCAGGCAGTAGAAATCAAGAGGATTGGACCAAGGTGTAACATGTCAGGAGTGGTCCCAAAAAGCATTAAGAGTTCAAGGAGAGAGTTTCCAATTTTACTATTAAATACAAAAGATGCCAATGTGCTGCTGACTTTTCAGTGATGCTTCTCTCAATTCTCTCAGCTTGTTCCCCACAAAGTGGTTAATGTCACTGATTATTTCTGGGATTTTCTGATTTGTTTTGTTTGGAAGGGGAAGGAAGATTGGTGATAATATATGAAAATATCCCCCAAGAGCACCTGGAGCTGTTTGGACACATGCACCTCCTGCATTTCCTGCAAGTTTTACAGTGTAACAGACATCATAATTCTCACACAATGCACACACCTCAACTTCATTTCCCTGAAAATAATTAAGAAGGTGAGCAGGTGTCAAACATGTTAGATCACACACTAACAGCCCTGAAAATTAAATACGACCATTTGTTCACAGAATTCCTGCCCTAAGCTACACAATCTGCACTGGACTAGACAGGAGGAGTTCAGTTTTGAACCACAAAATCATTAAGATCTGAAAAGGGACATGAAGCTGTTGGAGAGGGTCCACAGAAGGGCCACGAAGATGATGAGAGGGCTGGAGCAGCTCTGCTCTGGAGACAGGCTGGGAGAGTTGGGGTGTTCAGCCAGGAGAAGAGAAGGCTCCAGGGAGACCTTAGAGCACCTTCCAGTGCCTGAAGGGGCTCCAGGAAAGCTGGGGAGGGACTTGGGACAAGGGCAGGGAGGGATGGGATGAGGGGTGATGGTTTTAAACTGAAAGAGGGGAGATTTAGGTTAGACATCAGGAAGAAATTCTTCACCATGAGAGTAGGAAGGCACTGGAACAGGTTGCCCAGGGAGGTTATGACTGCCCCCTCCCTGGCAGTGTTCATGGCCAGGTTGGAGGAGGCTTGTGCAGCCTGGGCTTGTGGGAGGTGTCTCTGCTCATAGCAGGGAGGTTGGAACCTGATGATCTTTAAGGTCGATTCCAACCCAAAACATTCTGTGATTCTATGATTCTGTGATTCTGTGAATTGAGACTTCTACCATTTCATGGCTGCTAAGCCCAAGATGGCCTCCAAATACCACATCACCTACCAGTCCTTTCCTGTTTGTAAACAGGGACCTACTGGTCTAGAGAGGCACCTCCCCTGGTAGGCTCATTTACCAGCTGTGTCAGGAAGTTATCTTCCACACACTCCAGGAACCTCTGAAGATTGTTTCTATTCTGCTGTGCTTTATTTCCAGCAGACGTCTGGAGTCCCCTGCAAGGACAAGGGTTGGCAACTTGAAGACTTTTGCCAACTGCCTGTAGAACATCTCATGAGCCTCCTCATCCTGGTTGGGTGGCCTGTAATACATTCCCAACAGGATGTCTGCCTTCCTTCTAATCCTTATGCACAGGAACTTGATGTCACCACCACATTTGTCAAGTTCTATGCAAGCAAAACCCTCCCTGACATACAGGGCCACTTCACCAGGTCTCCTTCCCTGCCTGTCCCTTCTGAAGAGCTTATGGCCATTCAATATCAATTCAATACCAAACATCTCACCCCAGTGTGCCAACAGTGGTGTCTATTAACTCTGATTTTAGCAACACATCTGCTGGAACTTGGACTGAGACCAAACTCATCCCATATCTCCTATCAAACAGGCAAGGGATCCAATTACCTGGCAAGATTTCAAATATTAAAATGGAAAGGGTTCCCTATTTGTTACCAACTCCCTCAGAGAGCCATTATCTTATTAAAGGAAATGCTTTTTTAATAAGTAAGATTTGTTAGAGGTTTGTAACATAACCAAATGGAGTGAGGAGAGGAAGCTAATTTCTACCCTATAAAAACTGCCAGGTGTCTGTTCCACTGGCCTCTAACTGCTGTCCTATTTAAAGCAGTTAAAAAGTCACTACAGTTGCATTTCTATAAAATCTCTCAGCTGCTCCTTGAGGAGTTTCAACCTCAGCTCAACCCTGCTAAGACATTTGGGAGATTAGTCACGTAACAGCTCATTCGGTTAACTAGCAGCCCTGTATGCGAAGAATCCCAGAATGGTTTGGGTTGGACAGACCTTGAAGATCAACAGGTCTCAAACGAAATTCTTTATTATGAGGGTGGTAAGGCACTGCAACAGGTTGCCCAGGGAGGTCATGGAAGCCCCATCCCTGGCAGTATTCAAGGCTGGGTTCGATGGGGCTCTAAGCAACCTGATCTAGTGGTAGGTGTCCCTGACTGAGCAGGGGGGTTGGATCTGGATGATCTTTAAGGTCTCTTCCAGCCCTAACCTTACTATGATTCTATGACAAGTCTCTCCCCTGCTTCCTGTTGGCCCTCTTCAGTTACTGGAAGCCTGCTATAAGGTCTACCCAGGCTCTTCTGTTCTCCAGGCTGAACAACCCCAACTCTGTCAGCCTGTCTTCATAGGAGAGGTGCTCCAACCCTCTCATCATCTTCGTGGCCCTCCTCTGGACCCTTTACAACAGCTCCACATCCTTGTGTTGGGGACCCCAGCACCACTGGACCCAGCCCTGCATGAGGTTCCCACTACAGCAGAGTGGGACAATACCCTCCCTTGACCTGCTGGCCAGAGTGCCTCAAAGCAGCAAACAGGCAGGTTAATGCATGGAGTAATTTGTTTAAGTTTTTGGGCTGAATATAAATAAACTGAATATAATATAATATAATATAATATAATATAATATAATATAATATAATATAATATGTAGTATTATACCTGCTATCAGTTTGTTTCCACCATGACCAGAGATCAGTAGGTGTGACTTGGACCAGAGAGTGGGACTGAGAAAGAGGGACTCAAAGACAACCCAGTAGCTTGATCAGTAGCACTTTTCCTGCAGTGTCATGTTTAACATCACACTCCAGAGATGATGTAATAAAAATGAGAGAGCTAGACCTGGCAAATCAGTGAGCCATAACCTACTGTTCCCACCAAAGAGCAAACAATGCTGACTCCCAAGCCTCCAAAACCAACCCCTGGTGATGAGAAGAGCAAACAGAGCAAGACTTACAAGGTTTTCTATGTCGGTTCGTGCCAACACGTAGGTCCGGACGTTGCCATTTTGATGTAGGAGCATGTACAACAGAAGAGTTGCTTGATCAGATTTCTGCTGCTCACACAGAGTTGTGTATAAACTGTTAAAATTAATCTGGAAAGCGTGGGGATTTGATGAGGAGAAAGCAGAGCTATCTGAAATAAAGAAAAAACCCAAAACTCTCTTTAACCAAGGCATTTAACATCCAGCTGTTTGTAAATTTTATAACCATCTCAGGGGGGGAATATTTTATACAGATACCACAGAAAGAAGGAAAGGTCTTCAGGGAGACCTTAGAGCAGCTTCCAGTGCCTGAAGGGGCTCCAGGAAAGCTGGGGAGGGACATGGGACAAGAGCAGGGAGGGATGGGATGAAGGGAATGGTTTTAAACTGGGGAGATTTTGGTTGGATGGTTTTAAGAGGGGAGATTGAGGTGAGACATAAGGAGGAAATTCTTTGGTGTGAGGGTGGTGAGAACCTGGCCCAGGTTGCCCAGAGAAGCTGTGGCTGCCCCATCCCTGGCAGTGTTGAAGGGCAGGTTGGATGGGGCTTGAAGCAGCCTGGGCTGGTGGGAGGTGTCCCTGCCCATGCAGAGGGGTTGGAACTGGATGGTCTTTAAGGTCCTTTCCAACCCAAACTGTTCTATGTTTCTATGTGGATATCTTGCACTGCCTTTTATTTTAGCCTGTGTTCTCAGCAAAGTTTCTAATTAGCTTTCAGCATGGAAGAATGTGGTAATTGTCACTTATTTCTGAACAAAATCTACACCCTCTTAGGGAAGAAAAAGTTATAGGAAGACCTGCAGGAGCCACACAGGAGCCTTGACTCCCACTGGGCTTCTGGGGGCCTGGAGGAGCCAGCATGCTGGGAAGCTGCTGCTTCTCTTGGCCTGGGCAAGGGGCAACAGCTCCAGCCATTGAGCAGAGCTCAGCAGGAGGGACTGGAGCAAGTACTTCCCTGCCTGCAGGAGTGGGGAGGAAACTGCCCTACATGGTTTCAGGAATAATGGAATTGTTTTGGTTGGAAAAGTCCTCCAAGATCATCAAGTCCAACCATCCCCCCAGCCCTGCCAAGGCCACCCCTGCCCCATGTCCCTCAGCACCACATCTACACGGCTTGGAAACCCCTCCAGGGATGGGGACTCCAGCCCTGCCCTGGGCAGCCTGGGCCAGGGCCTGACAACCCTGGCCAGCAAGAAATGCTGCCCAACATCCCATCTCAGCCTCCCCTGGCACCACTGCAGCCCATTTCCTCTTGTCCCATCCCTTGTTCCTGGGGAGCAGAGCCCGACCCCCCTGGCTCCAACCTCCTCTCAGGCAGTTGCAGAGTGCAACTATGGACAGATTGGTTGAAAACCATCCTGCATCAGGCCCAGATTTCTCTCTACTAGGGAATACCAAGATCAAATTAATTCAACGTGTTCTATTAAGCAGAATTTGATGCCAGGGTTCATTAGTTGAGGACTGTCCTTTGACTTTCAAGCTTCACTTCTGTGGATGTTTAAACCATGTCACTTTTATGCACTTCACTGTCTGTTTTATTAAAAGGCATTAAAAAACTCTAAAAAATCTCAAACTAAACAGTATTAAAAAATATCAGCCACAGCAGCCTAGCCTGTTATTCTACAGAATGTTAAACTGGCCAACATTAAAATAAAGCTATTCTAGATCATGTAGAATAAAGCAAACTATCTTGAATTTGATTAGTTTTGTCTCAATTAAATTAAATAAATCACTTCAAGAAAAGTAAGGAAGGAATTGTTTATGCTGAGAGTGGTTAGACAATGGCCCAGGGAGATGGTAGATGCTCCATCCCTGGAAACATTCCGGTTCAGGTTGCAGTTGAGCAACCTGATCTGAAAGAAGATGTCTCTTTACAGATCCCTTCCATCCCAAACCATTCCATGATTCTACATTAAAAAAGCCAGTTTTCATATCATCGTTACATACTAGAGATCATTATGACCATAACCTTCCTTTTTTATATCATTTTCCTTTTACCAGCCCATCAGAATGTTCACAGGAATCCAATTTAAGCTCAGTTACATGAACACTGCCAGTGGAAAAAAATTAACAGGAAGCAATAAATCATGCTATAAATGTTACCATCTAGAGAAAAGATGCTGCTTTTGCCACAAAATAGGGTCTTTTACATTTTTTTAAAATTAGGTAACAGTTTTTCAACTGTGTGAGGTTATTGCTGGGTCCCAAGCAAGCCACTCTACACCAGGGCACTGAGTCAGGATCACACCTGCAACTGCCTGATACACAGACTGGAACCAACCTTCCCAAAAACCAGGCCAGCAGTGAAACCAGTCTGAAACTTTTTACATATATGGAAGTATTTTGTATTGATCAATTCCTCCTCACATTTTCAATACAAGAACAGTCTCAGCAAATTAACCCAGTTACCAAATCAATGACTTAGCTCTGAGGAACATGTCTCCAGCTAAAAAGGATTTCCCCAAGTGTTATAAAGGTCCTGCAGACTCTTGGATAACCAACCTATTTCTAGGTCAGGTTTGTAGCTTATGAAATTATGAAGCTTTGTAAAATTTCTGAAGTTTGAAGGACTTGCCCTGCCCCTTCCACTAAGTTCCAGCAACTGAGGAACTCCATCTCAGAATTCCCAGAATAAAATATACTATTAGGGAGGTTGGAACTGGCCCTCCCTGGAGGTGTTCAGGACCAGGTTGGATGGGGCTTGCGCAGCCTGGGCTGGTGGGAAGTGTCCCTGCCCATGCAGGGAGGTTGGAATCTGCTGATCTTTAAGGTCCCTTCCAACCTTCACCATTCTGTGATCCTATGATTACTGCTCTTCAATGGACCGGCTAGAAGGGAAATACATTTTGGAAGGAGAACATCTAAGTAGGCAGCTTAATGCTTCATTTTCATCAGCTCATGTTTAGAAGTAAAACCAGGTACAAACCTTGTGTGTTCTTGAAGGACATAATAGCTTGTCTGTAGGGATTTGGTGTATCTGGAGCATCAGTCAGATTAGCCAAGACCAGCAGGAGCAGGAGACTCTGGTTGGCAAGAGGGGAGCACTGCTCCAGCTGAGGTGTTGGTTTACTGCCCACTCCACCGAGCGTGAAGACTGTCCACAGGCCAGCTAGAGAGAAAGAGAAGAGATTTAGGTCAGACATCAGGGAAAAATTCTTCATCATGAGGGTAGGAAGGTGCTGGAACAGGTTGCCCAGGGAGGTTGTGGCTGCCCCATCCCTGGAAGTGTTGAAGGGCAGGTTGGATGGGGCTTGGAGCAACCTGGGCTGGTGGGAGGTGTCCCTGCCCACGCAGGGGGTTGGAACCTGATGGTCTTTAAGGTCCCTTCCAACCCAAACCATTCTGTGATTCTATTAGTTGGTGCTCCCCATCAACTCCAGAGAAGAGACATTTCTTCAGAAAACAGTTTCTGATCGTTAACAGCAGAACAAAGTGCTAAATAGAGAAAGAGTTTAGAAGGACAAAGAGAGAGCCAGGCAGCATTTTTAACTGTATTCCACATGTTCCCAATATTTGAAGCCTGGTTTCAGATTTATCTAAATTTCAAAATTAAGCCATATTTACATTTTTTAGCAAATTAAACAAAAGTAATGTGGCAGCCCTTCAAAAGGTCATCTCCACCATCTTATTTTCAGATCTAAAGTTAGAGTTAACTCAATACACCAAGAATATACACTGTTATAAAAATAAAGTGCCCAGAATCAAACTGCAAATTCAGCTTCACTGGCACCTCATGGAAAACCAGAATAAAAGGAATGAGATCTCCTGATGAAAATTCCTGTTAAAGCCATAGGTAGCTGTAACTAAGCTGCATCATTAAAAGTATGGAATAAAACTTAAAATTTCAATTTAAATTTCATTTCCTCCTTTCCTCTTGTCATTCTAGTATATATTCCAAAGGAAATGCAAATCACAGAAGTTTTTGTAAAGCTTTCTGTAACTCTGGGGCAAAGATGAGCTACAAGTTTTAAGAAAAAAACACCTCAACTGACTAAAGGATGAAGGGGATGGGTTCCCTGCAGCAGTATCATGATCAAAAGGGTGGCTGAAGGTTTAGAAAAACCTCTTCATTAACCAATTCTACCTCTCTGGTGCTACTTATAAGTGATGAAGTTAATAATTCTTAACCCTACAACAGTCTCTTCAACATTGATGTATTTGGATCACTTATTCCATCTCCAGGATTTACTGTTCTCTGGAAATACTTCCAACCTATTTTAATTTTAACTCCCTAATAGAAATTGATGTCTTGTCTCTATTCCACACAGAACCACATTGTGAGAATTTGTGTCAACTGGAGAAACAGTAAATATTGCTGATTATTTCTGGTAAATACACAGACAGTTTTGCCTTTAAAACAAAATTTAGAGATCCATTTTTTTCCTTCTCTTCCAAAAACTTCCCCAACACAACTTCTTTTTTCCCTAGTCATACAATTCTATGTCAAGAACAGGAGGGAGAACAGGTTCACTTTTCAATACAAGGGATGCCTTTTTGGGATAATCTGGAGATCTTCTCTAAAACCACAGAATCAAAGAATGGTTAAGATCAAAAGAGACCTTAAAGCTCATCAGGTTCCAACCCCCCTGCATGGACAGGGACACCTCCCACCAGACCAGGCTGCACAAGCCTCATCCAACCTGGCCTTGAACTTATCCAGGGATAGGGCTTCCACAACACAATCCTACAGAAATCTCAGCCTAAGGCTCTGGCCTCTGTAAGAAAACAAACCAGAAACAAGGTTCATGTTTGTGCCTCCTTCGAGGACAGTTTAAATGCACTTATTTATAGGATCATGTGACAAAGCAAAAATTTAAGGACATTTTAAGACCAAAAGATGGGGAGGAGAGCAGAGGTTCCTGAAAAAATTGAATCATTATAGAACAATCAAATTTATAGCCAGCTGACCTCCCAGGACTGCATATCATTATTGCAAGTTTGTCTATCAACAAACATTTGGGATGTTTATTGAAGCAATTAAGCTGGAGTACTGAGTCCAATTCTGGAGGCCCCAACACAAGAAGGATATGGAGCTGTTGGAGTCCAGAGGAGGCCACAGAGGAGGCTGGAGTAGCTCTGCTCTGGAGCCAGGCTGGGAGAGTTGGGGTGTTCAGCCTGGAGAAGAGAAGGCTCCAGGGAGACCTTAGAGCACCTTCCAGTGCCTGAAGGGGCTCCAGAAAAGCTGGGGAGGAACTTGGGACAAAGGCAGGAGGGATGGGAGCAGGGGGAAGGGTTTCCAGCTGGAAGAGGGAGTGGAGCTGAGATGTGAGGGAGCAATTCTGTGCTGTGAGGGTGGGGAGAGCCTGGCCCAGGTTGCCCAGAGAAGCTGTGGCTGCCCCATCCCTGGCAGTGTTGAAGGGCAGGTTGGATGGGGCTTGGAGCAACCTGGGCTGGTGGGAGGTGTCCCTGCCCATGCAGGGGGGTTGGAACTAGGTAATCTTTAGGGTCCCTTACAACCCCAAACACCCTATGATTCTATGAAGTGTAATTCTTCCACAAAACACATCTTACTTTCCATCCTTGAGTGTAAACGTTTGGAAGATAAACCCACTGAGCTTTGAAGCTAAACCCTCTGAGCCCTCTGCCCAGCAAGAGCATTAAATTAACCCAGAAGAAATGGGTGTTACTTCTTTCAAAGTCTCTTTCTGGGAAAAGGAGAATTTTTTTGTTTTGTTTTGTTAAAGCAGTTGCAAAACACAATTGTACTCATAATAGAGGTTCAAATTTTCCTTTATTAAGTTTTAGCATAAGCATAACATTTTAATCCTTGCTAGCAAAACCTTTTTGGGCAGGCCCGTTTCTGTCCTCACTGGAGTTCAGTGACAAAGAAAATCCTTCCCTCATTTCCCCCAACTCCAGTTCTATCACTCATCATTAGCATCTTATCAAAGAGTTTAATTGCTTTGGAAACTTATTTTGCAAAGTACACAGACCTGAGATGCTGCTTCCAAAAATGAAAAGAAATATTAAGACTTTTGATAGATATGAAGATCCTCAAAGGATCATCTTGATCCCTTCCTGTCATTTTCACATTTCCAAAATAACCATCCTACTCTCTTGCTGTAAAAATGGAAAGAACACCAGGAGATGGGGCTAAAGAAGTTGGTCAAAATCATTAAAACCCAACCACAAAGACCCCCATCAAACAGAAGAGATCTAACCTCTCTTTCAGCACTCTTTTCAAATCCACTCCTAGCTCCACATCCTGCTTCCCAATTTAGGAAACTTTCAGCATCTAGAATTGCTTAATACTGCAGCAACAGTCAATACTGATTGAGGAAGAATTAAAGCCAAAGTGATTTTCATTGCATCTAATTACTACCATCATCTATCTACTTCCTCCACCAACCCCAGAGAACACCATATTATTTAAAAACCATCACAATTCCTATTTTATTCTTCTGACATCCAAGGAGCTCTGGGAACTTGAGAGTTGGTTTTGTTTGGGTTTTCTTCTTATTTTATTTCATGCTTATGTGTGTGTCACATCTCTTAAGTCAATTCATTGGTTCTGACATTGTGGTCTGCTGAACACTTTCTGGTGGCCCATGGAGAGCTGGCACTTCATGTTGTGCTGGCTCTTGTCCTTGTTTCCAGCTGCTACATTGTGTTATAAGAAAGCTAAAAATACAGAAATACTTTCCTACCATTTCTTTTCCATGTAAGCAACTTCTCGAGTTGCCAGGGGGATGTTATGTGATAATGAATGGGAGAGGAAAAAGCTGTCCATGGAATCAGAAATGGGAGAGGCTGGATCAGGCAACTGCTCTGTCAAGATGCACTTCACATAATGTCTCAAATCAGAGACTTCTTATACTTTATAAGCATGTCCTTAACATCTCAGGTCATTATTTTAGCAACTAATTCAGAGAAGCACTGAGTATAATTGCTTAAAAGAGTATAAAACCAGCAGCTCCATTAATTTTAGGCAAGACCCACTGCATGTTTTTAGAATATTCATTACAGTAAGACACTAGTAATGCTGAACTACAGGAAATTTGGAACAATTTTTATAGAATCACAGGGGTTGGAAGGGACTTCTGAAGACCATCAAGTCCAACCCCCCTGCTGCAGCAGGAACACCCAGGGCAGGTCACACAGGAACGTGTCCACATGGGGCTGGAAAGTCTCCAGAGAAGGAGACTCCACAGCCTCTCTGGGCAGCCTGGCCCAGGGCTCTGTCACCCTCACAGCAAAGAAGTTGCTCCTCCTCTTGAACTGGAACTTCCTGTGTTGTCCCTTGGGGCCGTTTCCCCTCGTCCTGTCCCAGGCACCACTGAACACAGACTGGCCCATTCCTGACACCCACCCTGCAGGTATTGAGAGACATTCATCAGGTCCCCTCTCAGCCTTCTCTTCTCCTCACTAAACAGCCCCAGGTCTCTCAGCCTCTCCTCATCAGACAGATGTTCCAGTCCCTTCATCATCCTTGTAGCCTCCCTTGGACTGTTCCCAGCAAATCCCTGTCCCTCTGGAACTGGGGAGCCCAGAACTGGACACAGTCCTCCAGATGTGGCCTCACCAGGGCAGAGCAGAGGGGCAGGGGAACCTCCCTTGACCTGCTGGCCACACTGTTCTTAGTGCATCCCAGGATACTATTGGCTCTCTTGGCCACAAGAGCACCTTGCTGTCCTATGGATAACTTCTTGTTCACAAGTTATGTGGTTAATGTACTTACATGTTAAGTGTTACACCCTCAAGCAATGCTGAACTCACTAGGGGTATAAACACCCTAATGTGATTAACCAAAACCACCTCTGACTGAAACACTGGATCTGATTTCACTATCCTAAACACTGAACTAACTTCTACAGCCGAAACAAGTTCTTACAGATGACAGATTTTATGCAACATTATATCTGACAGGGTAACACACCAAGGACAGAAGTAACTATTTTTAATTTCCAGCAATATTTTCCTGCTCTCCACCGTCTGGCAATAGCCTAAGAGAATCAACCCAGGCCAGCATGTGACAAAGGAGGAAAAACATTTTAAAAACAACTACAGATTAACAGCCTCTGGGTGACACAGAAACTAGCAAAAGAAATTCAGATATTAAATAGCGGTAGGCTGGCTGGTTTTGAAGCCATCAGCAGGCTGCTGCAAGCA